GGAATGCAGGCATAACCCCTTCTTCTTTAAAATGTACTTTTCATTGTTTATAAAGGAAGTCCACTAAAGATAATGGTGCTTGAGGCATAAAAATTGGACCCTGATCTCATCAAACCCATAGGTTGTGTGTGAGCAGAAAACCCCCTGAAATCTGTGGTGATGTTTTTAGGATCAAATCTTACTTTTCAGGAGCACTGCTGATGTAAAATTTTGTCTTTGCTTCTAGTAACCCACCTGGAAGTAGAAGAATAACTTTACTGCTAGCAGTCTTAAGGCCGTTTTTTTAGTCTTTCTTGGAGACTGTTGCAGTCACTGGCATTGTTTGCTTAAAAAATGAAAATAACGGAAGTGGTCTGAGTGCAGGGGGCAGGTCCAGGAGCAATGCTAGTCCTGGTCTCTGCTCCGAGTCTGCTCCTGACCCCAGGGGTGACCTTGAACCAAAGTCCTAGGTCTGAGCACTGCCTCCTTTGGGAAAGCTGAAGTCTGGGTTTGAAGCTTGCATTTTAAACCTGTCCCTTCAAATGTTTTCTGTAACTATCTGACAGTATTTGCTTGAAATGCCTCTTCCGGAGGCGAGGTGTTAAATATGCCAGGATGGGGTTAAGTGGGTATGGTTGTTTCATAAAGGCAGGGACTTTTTTATTACCTAAGGAAATGGGAGCTATTTTCTAGAGAAAGAGGGGACCTGGGCTGTGCAGGGTTCTGAACTACCCACAGAAAGACTCAAGATGAATTATGTAGAGATTGTAACTGGAATTTGAAGTTATTGCTAATATCCTTGTCAGTGAAGAAGTCTCTAGGAAGAAGAGTTTTTATTTTAAAGCAGAAAGATTTAGTTTAAGATTATGTAAAGCACCCACACAAAACCTGCTATTCCTTTTCCTCAGTCCATTCACATTAAAAAATATACTTGTTCTGTTATAAAGGACTTGTTTTGCACTTAGTCTTAGCGGTGCAAGTAGCTGGGAAATGTCCCTTTTAGATTTTGTGGCTGCTTAGTTACCACAGCTTCTTGCTATCCAAATAGACTCGCTCTGTCAGGGCTGCGAGATGGGGAGAGATAAACACAGGGAGCAATTGTGGCTTCCTGCCACCAGCCCTGCTCAGAAAGCAAGAAAGCAATAGCAGATGAACTGTTT